AAAAAAAAGATTACAGAAACAGACCCACACAAGTGTCCAACTAATTTTTGCAAAGATATAAGATTCCTTAATAGAGGGAGGCTGTCTTTTCCAACAGTAATGCTGCTATTTTAAACTAAAACAAAACTTAACCTACACTTCACGCTTTAAACAAAAAATTAACTTAGATTAAATCTGCAACTTACATGTAAAACTATGAACCTTTTAGGGAAAAATGTAGAAAGTTTTGGAAGTAAGGCTACGAGTTCTTAACCTTCACAATAAAATCATGATCAATGAAAAGAAAAATTGACGTTAGACTTTGTTGAAATTAAAATTTTGCTTTGAGAAGAACTTACCAAGAGAATAAAGAGACAATAGAGTTGGAGAAAATACTTTCAAACCATATTTCCAACCAAATTCTAGTGTCTCAAATATACAAAGAACTCTAAAGGGCCGGTGATAGCTCAGTGGGTCCGCTGCCTGCCTTATTAGCACAAGGTCCTGAGTTTGATCCCCACTACCAAAAAAAAAACCTCAAAATTTAATACTTAGAAAAAAAATTTAGTAGAGCATAAGACATAGATGGACATTTCAAAAAGAGGACATAAGATGGTAAAGACGTACATGAAAAAATGTTCCACATCATTAGCTATTAAGGAATATATGTTCAAACCACAGTGAGATAGCACCATATACCTAGTAGAAGAGCTAAAATTAAAATTAGTGACAACAGCAAATGCAAGGATACAGAGAAAGGGCATCACTTGTGCAGTTCTTATGGAAGTGTACAGTGGCACAGCCACTCTGGAAAAGCCTGGCAGTTTCTTTTTAAACTAAACATGCAACTGCCATGTGACTCAGTAACTGTACTCTTCGGTATTTAATCCAGAGAAATAAAAACTTAATGCAACTATTCATAGCATCTTTATTCATAATAGCCAAAAACCAGAACCACCCCAGTATCCTCAGATGTGTGAATAGTTGAAGCACACTGGTGCATCCATACCAGGAAATACTACTGGGAGTTGGGGACTGTTATTGCAGTGAGTTGGATGACTCTAGGGCTTATACTGAGTCAGAAAAGTCAGTCTGATGAAGTTGCTTACTGTGTAACTCCATTTATGTAACACTCCTGAAATGATAGTATGAAAGTAAAGAATAGAGTAGTAGTTGCCAGCAGTTCAGATCAGGGGAGGGAACCCAGGAAGTTGGAAACACACCAGAGATCCTTCTGACCATGGAGATTCTTCTGTGTCCTGACTAATCTTTGTCACTATCCTAGCTGTACTACTACAGTATAGTTTTGTAAAACGTTACCTTGGGGAATACAACTTAAAGGGCACAGATACCTCCATTTTGTATAATTGTATGTAAAGGTACAGTTAGTTCAAAATAAGTTTATTTAAAAAGAAAACAAGCATAGTGAAAGCTAGCTGTGATGCTGCACACCTGTAAGGCCAGTACTCTGGGAGGCTGAGGCAGAAGGATTTCAAATTTGAGCCCAGCCTGGGCAACTTAACTTAGCAAGATCCTGTCTCAAAATAAAAAGAAGGGTAATTAACTGAGCCTAGTCCACATCATATGTGAATAGTTGGTTTAAGATCTGATGTGCAGCTGTTTTAACCCTTTATACTATAATTTTTATTCTTTATTTGAAGATTCACAAAACTTACAGATTCCTACCTGGGGTTAGCCAGTCACCTTGGTTTTCAGTAATTAAGACTCCTCACATTTTAATATAAATTTAGTATATGTCTTATACTCAATATTGATGGTATCTTACTTTAGTTGACAGCCTTTTTTTTTTTTTCTTTAAAGAGATTGTTAACAGTTTAAGGGTTTAATGGTAAATTCAATGGTATTCTTTTGTGGTGATACATTATATATACATAAATGTTGAAACCTCATTTACCTTCATCTTTTCTTTTTCCCTTTGATTTTCAAGTATCAATATACAGCATCTGGTTTTATGACAAGAATGACTGTCACCGCATAGCAAAACTCATGGCTGAGTAAGTATTTTTATTATTCTATAGATTTAATTAATGAGCTATGAGAGATGAAAAATGACTTCCCACTTCTCTTTGTTACTAAAGTCTATTAACTTATATATTTCCCTCCTAATTCTCTTTTTATTACCAAAAGTTTAAAGAAGGTATAAAAACTTAAAGAAATCTAAAATTGTCAGTAATCTTGCTACTCCCAGTGTTCTCATTATGTCTGTTTCCAGTCTTTTTCTATATATGTATGGAAATACAGATCTACATAAACCTATTGGTTTATAGGTATGATTGTTTTTTACAAAAATAAGGTAATTCTGTATATCCTGCTTTTTACTGTTAACATTTTTTAGGGCATCAAATTTTCTTTAACGTATTTATAATAGCTACATTATATCTAATCCTACAGATAGTTCATACCTTAACCATCACTTTACTCTAGTTTAGAACTGAAAAACTGCCTAGCTCTGGAGATTATCAGTTCCATCCAGAACACAGCCTGACTACCATATGTAATGGCTACCGAAATTTCCACCATATCAAGTGATACTGTAAGTGATACTGTATTCAATAGCCTGGTAGAAAACTCTAGCACATGTCTATAATAAATTACTCTCGGTGAACTTCTTATTGACACAGGCAAGATTTAGCAGGCTTCAACCCACTAATGGATTGTCTTCCAGAAGAATGCTCAGAATCTAGAAATTTGGAAAATAACTTTCATTGAATTTATGTTCTAAGAGAAAGGTTCCTGGATGTCCTTTCTCAAGCCAGCCCATAGAAGCCACCCATCGTTTGGCCTAGCCATATAGCTAGACTGCCAAGCTAGATTTTGGGGGCTTGAAACACTATGGTTTTAGAAGGGCCTGAGGGTCTGCAGAGCTCAAGCAAAATACTGTAGCAGGCAGTGTTTTCTGATAGACTTCTGCTCTCTCTTCAGTTTTTGCCTGAATCTCAAAAATGTGACCCTCTCTTTCCCCTCTGCAGAGGTTTCCATCCATAGTTGCCTGGTTCCAAGACAGGGCAGCATGGCAGAGGGGAATTGCAGAGGAGAAACAGTTCCTTTCCCTTTTATTCCATTCAGGCTGCAAGCCCTTTGGTTGGTGCCACCCACACCAGTTATCCACACCCAGAACTGCCATAAACTAATTTAGTTGTCACAGACCCTTAAGCGACGTTCACACCCTAGATCACTGTTGGCAAACCTATGGCACGCATGTTACTGTTTTTTTCTTTTAAGACAAAAGTTAATGTATGAGTTGTTTTTTTAAAAACCTCAGTATTCAAGTTTAATTGTAGTGTTGGTACTTTGCAATAAGTAAGTGTGTTTTGGGTTGCAGTTTGGGCACTCAGTCTCTGAAGGTTCGCTATCACTGCCCTAGGTCCATCCACCTCTGAAAAGCTCCACCTATAAGTGCATGAGCCTTTGGAGGAATATTGAGAGATAAACCATGGCAGTTTGTATCTACAAATAAGGGGAAAAAGTCTTAATTAAAAGTCTTAATTTTTTAAGTTTAACTTGTAATGAATTCTCTTAAAAGTATAGATAATCGACACTTAACACCTCAACTTCGTGTATTTTTGGTGCTGAGGATTGAACCCAAGCAGCAGTGAGCTACCTTCACAGCCCTTTTGAGTTGGACACATCTATGTTATGAAAAAAAAAGAGATTTTTTTGGTTTGTTTGTTTGTTTTTTTGTTTTTGAGACAGGATCTTGCAGTTCAGGCTGGCCTGGAACTTGTAGTCTCCAGAGTGCTAGGATTGTGCGCACCACACCTGGCCTCTTTCTGGGGGGCGTGGGGTGTTGAGACAGGGTCTTGTTTTGTAGTTCAGGCTGGGCTTAAACTCACTGTGTAGCCCAGGCTGGCCTCAATCTCACGGAGATCTTCCTGCTCAGCCTCCTGAATACTGAGATTACAGGTGTGCACCACCCCCAACTTAATGAAAAAAATTTAATGGAAATTTTGTTACTAATGCACATTATATTACAAGGTGTGATTCACATAATATGGTGAATGTTTAAATTTTTTTAATTTTATTGCAGTAAAAAATAATTTTTATTTATATCTCTCAAAATTCTCAGCCTCGCTTCGAACACAATTATCCCGTCATTCTTGCCATTTTCTGAAGCCATTCTGGAAGTCATCTTTCGTTGTACTGTCTTGGCTGCCTCCATATCCTGATCAGTTCAAAACCTTTCATGGCCATTGTAACTTTAACAAAGAACCAGAAGTCGCACACTGTCGTATCTGGGGAGTAAGGTGTACAAGGACACCATAATGTTTTACAAGCTGCCTTTCCGTTGGATTGCACTGGGCAGCAGCCTTCACCATATCTTTGACACACCTCATACAGACATGAAAGAGGACCTCTACAACTGCTTCAGAAATGGCAAGAAAGATAGGATAAGCATGTTAAAGCAATGGAGCGTGTTTTGAAGTAAGTGTACCTTTTACTTTAGAAATTCTGTGTATATTTTGATCACCCTTTGTATGTATTTTATGTGTGGCCCGAGGTGATTTCCTCTCCATCGATGAAGCCCAAGGGAATGAGACCTGTCTACCAGAGGGCCACAGTTTGGACACTCCTGTAATTTGAGACAGGACCTTGCTGAGTTGTCCAGATTGGCCTTGAACTCTTGAATCTCCTTCCCCAGCCTCCCCAGTAGTTGGGACTCCAGGCATGTACCACCACCCTCAACTATATTTACATTTTCTGAAAAGGTACACGTAAAATTGAAAGCACAGGTGCCTGTGGCAACCCCACGTTCTAACCTAGGACTCCTGTCCTGTCTTGGCTGAGTATTCAGCACCCTCCTTCTTTGTCCCCCTTGGCTTGCAGGGCAGACCAGTGTTTGGTACTTGTTGCACCCTGGAGGGCCTTGCTCCCAAGTAACTTGTAGCGATGTATATGTGAGTCTCTAGACCCACAACTTCTTTTTTATAACTTAATTTCTAAAAAAGAAAACCATTCTTTTAACAGAGACATTTAATTTATAAAGAATAGTGGTTTAGAGCTGGGTGTGGCAGCATATGCTTGTAACCCAGCACTCAGGAGGCTGAGGCAGGGGAATTTCTGTGAGTTTGAGACCTGGGCTACCTAAGTCTCAAAAACGGGAGGAGTGTCTTTACCTCATGGTTTTGGAGGGTGGGGAGCCCAAGAAGATGATGCCGACATCTGAGGTGTACATCATATGACAGAACAAGCCTGCTAGTCTGCCTTCTTGCCACTACGCCGGCTCAAGTCTGGTGCCCTTTTGAACCAGAATTATTACAGATCCAGTCCAGATCAGACAGGAGTTGAATACCAACTTGGCCAAGACAGGTGGCGTGGAAAGAGGATAGGAGAAAAAAAAACAGGCTGCGTGAAGGCAAACTCGGGTTGGTGTGGCCTGAAACTTAGTGGTAAATGAGCAAGTGGTGCTACACATGGTTTTCATGTCATGTCTGAAAGGCCGAGGAAAAAGATCACAAGTTTGAGCCCAGCCTGGGCAACTTAGTGAAACCCTGTCTCAAAATAAAAACAAGCTGTGGGTGTTCTCATAAAATCCCATGACAGGTGAACCTGTTTATGGCAGTTAGAATAAACTCCTGAATCAATTTTTTTTAAAAGATTGTCTTATTAAAATGTAATTTTACTGGGCCAGGGATTTAGCTCAGTGGTTCTGCTGCCTGCTTCCCAAGCACAAGGTCTCAAGTTCGATCCCCAGTACCAAAAAAAAAAAAAATATACAATAAATAAAAAAATATCCACATGCTCTCCATCTACCTTTTAGTTCCGAACATTTTACTGTATATGCTTCAAACCTCTTTGTTCAGAGAGAGGAGAAGTTCTTTAGAAATGAAAGCCTACTCACTGAGCGCATGGCGTACCCTGTAATTCTGGCATCTTGGAGGCTGAGGAAGAAGGCTTACAAGTACCAGGCCAGCCTGTGCAGTTTACCCAGACCTTATCTTAAAATTAAAGAATGAGAAGGGCTGGGGATGTAGCTCAGTACTCCCTGGATTCAATCTCTAGTACTGCCAGAAAAGAAAAGACCCCAGCCCTGTCAATGGCATTCTTAACCTGAGACTTTGTTTGCTTTATGGATTTTCACGTGAAGAATTGGCTTGACTAGTACCAATCAAAATAAAGTCGTATTTGGGCTGGGGATTTAGCTCAGTGGTACTGGCCTCTGCCTGGTAAGTACAAGGACATGAGTTCAATCCCCATATCAAAAGAACAAATAATAAAGTCCATTTGCTGGGTGTAGTGGTACATACCTATAATCCCAGCACTCAGGAGGCTGAGGCAGGAAGATCTCCAAGTTCTAAACCAGTCTGGGCTACATAGGAAGTCTCTGTCTAAACAAAACAAAACAAAGTACATTCCCACAACCACCCTGAGCTCAGTCACCCACTTAGTGACTTTTAAGGAAGAAAAACAAAGCCTTTTGTTTCTTTGTAGTGTTATATCATTAAGTTTTTCACCAAAACCCATTTTCAAGATTGCCCTTGTCTGTGCAAACTTGGTAATGTGTCCGTTTTCAAATTTACTATACCACTTAGTTTGACTGATTGTGAGCTACTTGTAGGGGATATTTAGTGGAGTTTTTAATGTACCTGCTTGCACCACCCCTAGAAAGGAAGGTGAAATGTACTGGTTGGTGCTATTGTGAATGAAATGGTGAGACTCTAAGTGGTGTTTCTGGAATGCAGTAACTAGGCCCACATTATGGATTGTTAAGGTGCTGTCATCATGGCACACTCTCGTGTGTCCTTGGAAGATGGACACCAAGAAAGTTCTTGGGTCAGATCGTGTCTGAAGAAGCCTTTCTAAAACCTGCTTCTCCTCATCCAGTGTGGTAGAAGAGGAGACACGGCGATCCCAGCAAGCTCGAGATAAACAGAGTCCCAGCCAGGCCAATGGCTGCAGCGACCACAGGCCCATCGACATCCTGGAAATGCTGAGTAGAGCCAAGGATGAGTACGAGAGGGTAAGGCTCGTGTGTGTACTGACGGGTACCAGAAGAAGGGTAGGAGGCCTGCAAGAGGCTTCGGAGTCTGACTGGGAGCATTACCTCGAGGGCTGGCAGAAATAATTGGCTCAAAAGTAAGCATTCTGTGATTTCGAGCCTAAAATAGATGCTTATTTGGGTAGAAAAATTGAGAATTTTTTTTTCCAATAATTACAATAAAATTATTTTAGAAAAAAATAGAGTCAGAGGATAGAAGTTAGACTACAACGTGTAGTTCTGGAAAAGCTTCATGCTCCTTCTTCACTTCTGCAGTCTCTTGTTAGGATGCTAAATGGCCTTGGGGACTTATTTACCTTTTTTTTTTTCCCCCTGGTAGTGGGGAATTAAACTCAGGCCCTTGCGCTTGCAAGGCAGGCACTGGAATCACTGATCTAAATCCCCAGCCCTGCATTTTACCTTTTAACGAATAAAATTTTCTCTCTTACAAAGTGAATAAAATGGCAGTTGCAGTATGGTAACTAAATTGCTTAACACATGTGTATGAAGGGCTCACTATATACCGAGCAGGGGATGTTCCCTGGCAGTGGCTGTGAACTGTCATGGCTTTTCACTTGGCGTCCATACCTCAAAGCCTCACATTTCACTGGGGTGAGACCTAAAAGTTCTACTGCATTTCGTTACAGCAGAATCACAATTGTTACTTTATTCACAACCAGTGAGATAAGTGCTTTCTTTTCATTTGCATTTGTCTTGGCCTCACAAATTCTTTAAGAAACAAAGTGTGAAAAAGCACTATTATAAGACCATGTTTCCCAAACACTCTGCTAAAACATTGGCTTCTGGGTTATTAATAGATGATCTTTGAAAAAAAACGTTCAAATCAGTCAGAAGAGATCAAGAAATGTTGCTAGCATGTCTCCTCCTCACCTCCCGTAGGGGTTTTATGACTCAGGACTAAGAAGTCCCAGTGTAGAAGCAGCAGTACCACCAGTTCCCAGGTCAGTCAGGACCATTTTTTACCTACTACCTTGTAATACCTCAATCTGGAGTTCAAGCAGCAAAGTTTGAAAAAAGTGTTCTGGAAGATAGTTTCCTCTAAAAACAGTCATACTCACCATAAATTATAAAAAACACCAAAAGCAGACACACAAAAGGCAGAAAAACAGGGTGGAGAAGTATACATTAGAGGTCAGAAGTCATTGGAAGTTATACCGAATTCCTCAGTCTCTCATACAGAAATAGGGACACTTTATGTGTCCGTGGCAAGATGACTGGAAAAGCAGTCATCTCCATTATAAACGCACTGACTCATGGGAAATTGAATGAGAATAAATTCCAAGAGTCGTATTTTAGATTTAAAGGTTGTCTTGAGGGCTGGGAATATAGTTCAGTGGTGGAGCACTTTCCTAACACGCTTGTGTTCTCATACCCTTAACGAAGTCTGGGTCCTTGTTCTGCTTTTTGAGGCACTGTCTCAAGTAATGACTGCGTCAAGGTTCCCCGTAAGACAGAAACTGTAGGTGCTGTACACTACTGCAAATACTCCATGGCCTGGCTTACTGCCTAGCAAGCAAGTAGTCATGGAGGAAAGAAGCGTGTAGGTTTTTTGTTTTTGGTGCCGGGGTGGAACTCAAGGCCTTGTACATCCTGTGCATATGCTCTACTGCTGAGCTACACTCAGCCCCATCGCCTTATTTTTATACCCAAAACTTTAAGGGAACTCTGATATTAAGTGTGCAATCTGAAAAATCTAGTGTGGTTTCAATATTAACAAGGGAATAAATATAGAGCATAATAATTTCTGTTGTAGGGCTGGTGATTTAGCTCAGTGATTCCACCACCTGCCTCGCAAGCATAGGGTCCCGAGTTGGATCCCTGGTACCAAATAATAATAATAATTTCTGTTGTAAAAAAAATTCTGTCACAGTATGGGGTAAATTATCTAAGGTTAGATTAAAATGAAACCTTTGGAGATTTAATATTTGACATCTCCTTTATA